ATATCACTATATATACGAAAAAAATCAAGAAATTGGAAATAATTCCATCGCATATGTTCAAGAATTGTGTAAATAGTTCAATAAAAGTGGTATACTGTCACACATCTTTCCTATGTCCCAAGTTTACTTACTGTAGGAAGAGTATGTACGTCATTGTAAACTGCTCAGTTTACAAATTGTTGTGCTTCAGTTCTGGGACCCGTACCGCGAGACTGAGACCATTCCACTACCCACGCTCGGTATAAATATATATATATATATATATATATATATATATATATATATATAATATATATATATATATATATATATATATTAGTATATTTTGGTAGCAGTCTTTCCTGTAGACATATTTTATTAAATATGACCGAAAAAGTAAGATTAATAATTCTAACACGAATTTTCTCAATCCTTCGTACATTATGCTTCACTATGGAGGTAAATCAAAAATCACTTCTCCAAAATTCATTTTTATTTCTAGTCTGACGCGACACGGGCGCGTTTCGTAAAACTTATTACATTTTCAAAGACTTCACAAATACACAACTGATTAGAACTTGCGTTTCCCTGGTTTTATATCTACATTTGAGTGAGGTGGGAAGGGTGATGTGGCATTACATTTGAGTAAGGTGGGAAGGATGATGTGGCATTAGAGGATATTAATAGGGTATTAAAAGTATCAACACAAGACAGAACACGAAACAATGGATATTGAATAGAAGTGTTTGTAGAAAGCCTATTGGTCCATATTTCTTGATGCTTCTATATTGGAGCGGAGTCTTGAGGTGGGTAGAATATAGTTGTGCAATAATTGGCTGTTGATTGCTGGTGTTGACTTCTTGATGTGTAGTGCCTCGCAAACGTCGAGCCGCCTGCTATCGCTGTATCTATCGATGATTTCTGTGTTGTTTACTAGGATTTCTCTGGCGATGGTTTGGTTGTGGGAAGAGATTATATGTTCCTTAATGGAGCCCTGTTGTTTATGCATCGTTAAACGCCTAGAAAGAGATGTTGTTGTCTTGCCTATATACTGGGTTTTTTGGAGCTTACAGTCCCCAAGTGGGCATTTGAAGGCATAGACGACGTTAGTCTCTTTTAAAGCGTTCTGCTTTGTGTCTGGAGAGTTTCTCATGAGTAGGCTGGCCGTTTTTCTGGTTTTATAGTAAATCGTCAGTTGTATCCTCTGATACAACTGACGATTTACTATAAAACCAGAAAAACGGCCAGCCTACTCATGAGAAACTCTCCAGACACGAAACAGAACGCTTTAAAAGAGACTAACGTCGTCTATGCCTTCAAATGCCCACTTGGGGACTGTAAGCTCCAAAAAACCCAGTATATAGGCAAGACAACAACATCTCTTTCTAGGCGTTTAACGATGCATAAACAACAGGGCTCCATTAAGGAACATATAATCTCTTCCCACAACCAAACCATCGCCAGAGAAATCCTAGTAAACAACACAGAAATCATCGATAGATACAGCGATAGCAGGCGGCTCGACGTTTGCGAGGCACTACACATCAAGAAGTCAACACCAGCAATCAACAGCCAATTATTGCACAACTATATTCTACCCACCTCAAGACTCCGCTCCAATATAGAAGCATCAAGAAATATGGACCAATAGGCTTTCTACAAACACTTCTATTCAATATCCATTGTTTCGTGTTCTGTCTTGTGTTGATACTTTTAATACCCTATTAATATCCTCTAATGCCACATCATCCTTCCCACCTTACTCAAATGTAATGCCACATCACCCTTCCCACCTCACTCAAATGTAGATATAAAACCAGGGAAACGCAAGTTCTAATCAGTTGTGTATTTGTGAAGTCTTTGAAAATGTAATAAGTTTTACGAAACGCGCCCGTGTCGCGTCAGACTAGAAATAAAAATGAATTTTGGAGAAGTGATTTTTGATTTACCTCCAATAGTGAAGCATAATGTACGAAGGATTGAGAAAATTCGTGTTAGAATTATTAATCTTACTTTTTCGGTCATATTTAATAAAATATATATATATATATATATATGTGTGTGTGTGTGTGTATGGTACCCACTGCTACTCACAGCATGGGGTATAGACTACATTATAGACGAAGCCAACTAACACAAATGAAGCTCCTAGCTACCTACCCTTACCCTGTAGGTCGACCATCCCATAATGGAAGAGAGGTAACTAATGTCTCTAACTTTCAGCGTAACTCGGCACCGTCGACCAGCTGCCTAAAGCTGGTGCCGGCCAGCTGGTTCCCCCGCCCTCTACAACAATACAGTTAAATCATCAGTATATTAACATTTTATTTGTGCCTCAGCTCTCACTAGGGGAGGAGGGGAAATAGACTAGGTTGTAGGGGGAGGGGGAAGGGGGGATGGGGCTGGTCTGGGGGGTGGAAAAAGGGGGGGGAGAAGGGGGAGCTATACTCATTAACACCTCATAATGGTGCAATCCAGGATTGATCATTATGTTGCATGGCCACATATGGCCACATGGCCA